GGGCATTTGCCTGTCATTACCTCTGTAGGTAGTGTAAGTGGTGCAAGAACTTTTCCTACAGATGCTGTAGGATTCACAGAGACGGATTCTTGCCATGAAGCCTTTAGCTTTTGAATGATCCAATGAGCTAGACGCTGCTCAAAGGTCCAATGGTTTTGTATATCAGAACTTCCCCCGGTTCTCTCCGATATTGTATCATCACTGCGTGGTGCATCCACAAAATCATCTTTAAAGGAAACTGTCCTGTTTATTATTTGTCTCCCTATTGCTCTCCTTGAGGAATTAACACTGCGGGAGAGCTCAGCATCAGCTCCAATGGTCATTGGACTCTTGGGAATCACAATGGAGGTTTTTATTTTGGACTGCAAAGTCTGTACGCTTACAATCTCCCTCTCATAGCTTTGTACAGCACCACCTTCTTCTGTTCCAAGAATATTGTCATAGGTGATGTTCCTTGCTTGAAAAGAGGTCTTGTTCAGCCAAGGTGTCGGGTCTGTTCCATCTAGGCCGCGTCCTAGCCCCAAATCAAAGTATCTGTATATTTCTTCTTGAGAAATTACTGGGAGGACTTTGGATCTAAAATGTTTTGGTGTTTGATCCGGGCTGGTTTTCTGGATTTCTTCTGGGACGGTGCTAGATTCGCGAATTTGAGATGATTCTTCTGCCATCATAATGACTGTCGCTGGTGATTGTATTAGTCGAGATAGCGCCTCCCTTTTTATTCTGCTGGATTCTTTAATAACAGACAAATTTTGAGGGGAAGTCTGGCATGAAGTCATCTAATGAATGTCTGGCCAGCAAGTATTACTATACAGCTACTGAAATTACAATAACTAGATTTGGTCTAGAGCTTAAAAATGCAATCATTACTAAAACACGACGACGCATGAATAATATCAACACAGACACTGACATTGCACTATTATGTTTATAATGTACACGTTGTGTTTTTTTTGTTAGTTATGCTGCTTCAGCTTGTATTACATCATTGAGTGCCGTGTCTGTAGTACAGTCTACTGAGTCTAGTCTCATTGTAGTTTCTCAGAATTCATGCGGACCTAGCTACATGTAGATTTACTACTCTCACCTTTCATGCATCATAAGCATATACAACATAGGGCCAGACTACACTATAATTCATTTGTCTAGTAGTAATAGGGTGGCTGTGACAACTTATTCATGATAAATATTATTTCATTCTTCTTCGTAAACATATGCTCTGTGTAGCGTATCTATGATATGGTGTCAGACTGTATTCATCTTCAAGACATAGACCCTTTTAATGGTGATATACGTCACATAGCCTTCACTATATAAAATTCATTTTGTCTCATACTAGTACTGCAATATGATCTATATTACTGTAATTACTATTCATGGTAAGCATATATGGCATAACGAAGCCTGTTAAATCATCATGACGATTGCAAGTGTGTGTTTGTACATCATCCAAGATAATCATTATTAGCGATTATTGCTGATTTTGCATTTGCTTTAAAAAAATTTAAATTAAGAAATCAATTAACATTGACAGTAACAACACCAAAAGGGTATACTCAAAGTAAAAGAAGTACACACACAATAATGACAAAATTGGAACATTCAATCACAAAATTATTGTTCAGTATCAGTGTCTTTCTTTTCTTCAAACTTTTCACAGCTTCGTACCAGTTGAAAGAGCATATGTACATTTGAGCTGTCATGATATTTTCTACTGCTCACACATGCTGTTATGTAAGTGTCTTCATTAGTTCCTCTTTCTCTTACACGTTTAACGGCAAGGTAGCCATTTATTTTGCGCTTCCTTCGAGAGCAGTTGATGTAGAACATCTCAGTCCCACTGGTCCAAGTGCTGATTGAAACTGGTGATACTTTATTATGTATTATACGACTGTGTAGTACAAATCTACTGGATTCATCACTGACTGTGTCTGACATGTAAAGTGGACCATTGTTTCGTCCCCTCACACTCACAGGAGCATCCAAATACAAAGCAACTGTTGATAAGGGTTCAGTAGAATGAAAGATCGAGTCGCGACGTTTTTGAATAACTCGTCCAATCTCCTTGTGATATGTAATATAGAACTCATTGTATTTATCATTACTGGGGATGATCTGGAAGTGTGTGGCTTGAGTTACTTCAGTAGTAGCTTTAACAGCATGAGTTTCTGGATCAACAGCAAGAAAGAGACCTGATGCAAGATCACAACTTATGAGGAATGGACCATCTGTACAAATGAAATGTTTTTTTAATCTCATGATAATTGATAACAAACTTAATACATTAATAATACCGTATAGCCGCTTAATTTCAAGGGCACAATTTTCACTGTTTTCGTGGATTTTCCATATCCACGAAAGTTAATCCTGTAAAATTATCTGCATTGCCCATTAACACATGTGCTTTAAAATAAGAACCACAAAAATTAATTCGCAAAAAAAGACTTGTGGCCTGATTCGTGAAAGTTTATTGCCTCGAAACTTTGTGGCTATATGGTATACAATTGGATGCTTACTGCTTTTATCCTTTTGTGAATCAAAATATTTCAAAAGTGCAGTGGACATTGCTTCGTGTAGGAAGTCAGTCTTCACCAAAGTGAGGATTGATTTGATGGCGATATTGACAACAGCTTCACCATAAGATCCATGCTCAACCTTGTCGCTTGTAAATGTACCGATTCGCTTGATCATCATTTTAGAAGGTGCATGCTTCTTTCCACTCAAATAACTTTCCATTTTTGCCAGTACATCATCGGAATACTGATACTCATGCTCAGTAAAGACTTGGTATTCTGCTGCCCCTAACTCAATTGCACTAACATAATGAGTGACACGAAAGTAATCAAGAAACTCTTCACAACCCTTGATGATGAGTTGTAGATCAGGTTTACGATGTTGCTCAATTACAAATAGCAAATCAGTCAAAGGACAGTTTCCTTTCACTGTTTCTGTTGGTAGTGTGAGTGGTGGAAGTAGCTTGACTGCAGAAACTGATGTAGTAACGGATTGTGGTTGCTGCCAAGAAGCCTTTAGCCTTTGAATGATCCAATGAGCTAGACGTTGCTCAAAATTCCAATGATTTTGTATATCAGAACTTCCTCCGGTTTTCTCTGATATTGTTTCATCACTGTGTGGTGCATCCACAAAATCATCTTTAAAGGAAATTGTCCTGTTTATTATTTGTCTCCCTATTGCTCTCCTTGAGGAATTAACACTGCGCGAGAGCTCAGAATCAGCTCCAATGGTCAATGGCTTGTTGGGCCTATCAATGGAGGTTGTTATTTCACATTGAAGAGCTTGAAAACTTGATATCTCCTTCTCATAGCCCTGCATTGCGCCTCCTTCGTCTCTTCCAATGATGTTGTCAAAAGTGACATGCCTTGCTTGAAAGGAGGTCTTATTCAGCCATGGTTTTCGGCTAGTACCATCCACACCACAACCAAGTCCTAGATCCACATAGCGATATATTTCTTCCTCAGAAACGACAGGTGCAACTTTGAAAGACCCTTCAGAGCCCATTATTGAAGGAACAGCAGCTATTTTAGCCATAGTCTGATAACAATAATATTCTTGTCTTTGCCGCCATATTTGTATGCAGAATAAATGAGGTCATTAGCTAGCCGGCGTAGATAGTCGCCCACTTAATTACCCAACCCTCAAGTGTCATGTCTGGAGATGATTTAGGTCATGTCTGCATTACTTCCTTTTCCGTCTTCTCTTTTGAATAGATCAATTACAATGCCGTGTCTAGAATCTAATGATGTTGGTTTAGCTGGCATCTTTAATAATTATGCTGATATCTAATGTTTACCTCAGTGACATCACATAATCTTCAAAAGCACTTGCAGCATGCCGCAGACACTTAGATCATGATATTCCATTCAGCTTTAGTTTCATATTTAATTGCTGTGTCTACTTTGTCTAGCCAGCAAAATGAATGTTTAAAGCCTTGCTAGTGCTGAATGATTTGACTATGAAGGTGTGCATGGCTACTAAACTATGTGGTGCAAAATGCAATTTCTTACCTCACAGTGTGCTTAACAACTAATGGATGAAGTACAACTGTTCTGTTTACATAGTATCATATTACGGCATAATGCAGTTATGCATGTAGAGTAACAGTTATGCTGATTCCATAATGTGCATAATGTTTCCCTTTTATGAGCAATGTTATCCAAGACTCCTCTATAATGTCATTTTTATCTAGTGTAACACATTTATATATAGTTAAAATGTTTTTAATTGATAAAAAAACACAACACAAGACATCAATAGAAAATAATGCTTCATTATCAAAACAAAAATTAAGAAGTGTCACTTTCTTTGATTTGAAATTGTTCAGTTTCTTTTGGCAGTTCTTCTTCATTCTCATCGTCATAATTTTCACTGCCCGGCTCATCTTCAACTAGGTAGGTTGGTATCAATTGAAAAAGCATGTGTACATTTGAGCTGTCATGATATTTTCTACTGCTCACACATGCTGTTATGTAAGTGTCTTCATTAGTTCCTCTTTCTCTTACACGTTTAACGGCAAGGTAGCCATCTATTCTGAACTTCCTTCGAGAGCAGTTGAGGTAGAACATCTCAGTCCCATTGGTCCAAGTGCTGATTGACACTGGTGATACTTTATTATGTATTATACGACTGTGTAGTACAAATCTACTGGATTCATCACTGACTGTGTCTGACATGTAAAGTGGACCATTGTTTCGTCCCCTCACACTAACAGGAGCATCCAAATACATAGCAACAGTTGATCCAGGGTCGTCACCAGCTAAAACTGAGTATCGACGTCTTCGAAGAACTCTTCCTTTCTCCTCGTGGTATGCAATATAGAACTCATTGTATTTATCATCACTGGGGATGACCTGGAAGTGTGTGGCTTGAGTTACTTCAGTGGTAGCTTTAACAGCATGAGTTTCTGGATCAACAGCAAGAAAGAGACCTGAAGCAAGACCACAACTTATGAGGTACGGACCATCTGTAAAAAATAATAATAATAATTTTTATATCAAAGAACACATATTCATCACACCCTTGTCATGCACTAGTAAAGGATTATAGTAGTTATACTACTTATGTTTCTTTGATGTGATCTTAATTGCATTCCAAATGCTCAAGTTTAGCCAATACTACACTTAATTACTGTAGTGAGTAGTAGATTTATGCATAGTTGCTTACTGCTTTTATCACTCTGTGAGTCAATGAACTTTAAAAGTGCTGTTGACATTGCTTCGTGTAGGAAGTCGGTCTTCACCAAAGTGAGGATTGATTTGATGGCGACATTGACAACAGCTTCACCGTAAGATCCACGCTCAACCTTGTCATCGCTTGTAAATATACCAATCTTCTTTAATTCAGATGCCTTGCTCTTCTTTTGGCTTGAGAAACTTTGCTGAGTAACCAAGCTTGCCAATTTCTCAATGCCAAACGAGCCACCAGCACTAATAGACATTTGGTACTCATCTTCAGTTAGGACTCGGTATTCTGCTGCCCCTAACTCAATTGCACTAACATAATGAGTGACACGAAAGTAATCAAGAAACTCTTCACAACCCTTGATGATGAGTTGTAGATCAGGTTTACGATGTTGCTCAATTACAAATAGCAAATCGGCCAAAGGGCATTTGCCTGTCATTACCTCTGTAGGTAGTGTAAGTGGTGC